AGTAGTAGTAGTAGTAGTAGTAGTAGTAGTAGTAGTAGTAGTAGTATTTCATAGGAGGATTTCCTTGTTGTATCTATTGCACAACCCTGACAGCAACCATTTTGTGAGTGAAAACAAAAACTTAGGATCCCAAATTACAATAGGACTCCTCACTAAAGCTGTTTTCAATAATCTGTGTGTCCATTAAATGTTTCTCTACCTGTTTGTACATGTTTGTACCTCAAAATCTTCATTTTTCAATCTTGAATATGATCCAGGATTCTTATGTAAAAACAAGAACAAGGTCTCAACCACACCATAAACCAAATTGAAATAAATTGGAACTTCACTTGATTTTTTGTACCATACTGGAATTCAAAATACATAAATTGCATTCCAGATATCCAAATGATKTGAATAAGAATAACAAATTATCATGTGACTTGACATTTCAACAGCAGCCCTCCTCCCATAAATATCAAAAATGCAACAAAGTTAAAAAAGTTAAAATAAAATTTTACTATCATTCCATTCTTTTTATTTTGGAATGTTTGGTTGAGCCCATCCTATGATTTTTTGGTGTTCTTAATTCCCTTAAAATATAGAATTACTGCTGCAATTTTCAGCACACTGGTAGCAGCAGCAGTATTTGCAGACCATTTCTTCAATGGAACAAATACTTGACTACTAATTGATTCTAATCCAAGCAACAGACAAGGTTGCATTGAAAAGAGGAGGAAATCCCCAATTGTTTTTGGACCAGAACCACCAGAAATAACAGTACTAGATACCACTACACTACTAGTAGTATGAGGAGTGATTCAAACAATTACATCAATGATATTTGGAGATAAAGTAGTAGTGACAATGCAGTGTTGGATTTAAACAGATGGATACTACATTTTACCTGCAGCAAGCTGTAACCAGAATGACATGACAATCAAGTGAACATTTTCATAMATTTTCATTTTTGTTCTGTCTTTGCCATTTACTCCTCTGCTCTGCTCCTTGCTGTCTCCTTGATCTTGTCTAAGTAATGTTTGGTTGTTGTTCTTCTTATTGTAGTTGGTATTACTAAAGTACTCGATGTTTCTGACCAGAAGAAGAGTTCTTTTGAATTTTAGATTTCTTTGTACTTGTTCTATTATAAATTTTGAAGCTTTTTTTTTATCACAAGACACAAGTGATCTTGTGATTCCTTGAAGMAACATGGAATATTCTGACAAGAAGCAATTGCATGGATTAGAAACAACTATGTTTTCAATGGGCACTAGATGTGAAAAAGTTGCATTAACTGGCTACTAGTAGTAGTCTAGTACTGCCTGAAGACAAAGAATTTTCTACTTAGCAGTCCTCTTTAGAATTTTCATAATAAAAACTACAAATGMAGCATATCACAATTAAAACTACAAATGAAATATAGCACAACTGATTTCTTTGTTGCATAATCTTGAATAACAACTGTGTTGCAACTGTGTTCATCCCCTTCTTTATCAACACCTAAGTCTACATATTAGTATACTAGTAGTGTCAAATGAAATTTTACAGTATCTTCTTTCCAGGATTTACAAAAGGAAGACAACTAGGATATTCTTAGTGCCTCCAGGTTGTTTGTAAGTATCAATTCACAAACAAAACAAGAATGAGCCAAGTCAATATTKTGTTATTTTTGTTGATCTTTCCATTTCAAAAATTTCTGAAGATCATGTATTCTCTCCTTGCTCCTGTTCACTTATTGCAGAACAGCTGTCTGATTTTTACTGGACTCTGCCATTTGAAAAAACATAATTGAAAAAGAAAATCAATATTCTGAACAAGTGGCGTCAACTAAGAAATTATTTTTGGGGTCCACAAATGATGGGAGATAGCCCCCTGTCTACTATCATTTGCTGGAAAACCCAATTTGAATCAGTTATTGTACTAGGTCTTGTTGCTTTTGCCACTAGTACTACTAGTACTAGTACTAGTACTGTTACTTTCAGCACAACTTTCATTAGTATAAATTAAAAATAATAACAATTTTATAGCGAGAAGAGGAGGGGCTCTAGGGTGCTGGCATGTACCACTAGTACTTCTATGGAGAAGGATGATGCCTCTAATTGTCCTAATAATAACAAGGGGCTGTACCACCTCTACCTGAGGAGGCAAATCTGGTGAGTAGTAGTAGTAATACAAAGTGGCTAGTATCATTGGGGTAGGCTCATTAGTAGTWCTAGTAGTTAAAGTTCTATTGGGTCAGTGTGGTGTGATAGTTTCTGGTAGTAGAAGTAAAGCAAGCCAATCCTGTGTAGTGCACTCTGGGGTTGTCTACTACTATTTGGTGTCAATGGAGGCAAGAAGTACTGAGTAATTGGATTGCTATTTGCATACCACATCATAAAGAAACAAGAAGCCACATGAGATAMAATGRGATTCTGCCCATCATTATTAGTAGGATGTGCCAAATTACTTGCATAACAACAGGTTMTACTAACTGCTGGTTGATGAAGAATGCCTTGTTGGTCTGTCTTTCTTATCAGAATTCTTGAAACTGAGTAGTACTACTAGTACTGGTAGTATTTGACTACCAAAATTTGTCCCAAAAGAGAAGGCATCTTGGTCTTCCAGTCTATTTTACTGAAATTGAATGCTATAGTATTTTGTACTAGGGTTTATGTGTAATAAATATATCTGAGTTACTAGCATAGTACCTATAACGGTTGGTGTAACAGTTCTCCTGGTACTAGTAGTTAACATAAAATACTTTTTCTTGAGGAGCACTACTAGAGTTACAAAAATCTCGTTTCTCTCCTCCTAACTCCTGTCACTAGTAATACTAGTAGTAGTACTACCAACCCAAGAAAATATTACAGTATTCAACATTTTGATTGTCCTACTAGTACTACTAGAATTCTCCCCAATCTCTTCTTGAAAAATATCAAATACAAAAAAAATCCAGACTAAGAGCACCACCAGTACTACAGGTGTTCATACCAAACATAGTATGACCAATATTTCTGTCAAAAAGAGTAGGTCTTGTGACATTTAGTAGTGGAAAGAAGGAATCTCCTTCCTCATTGCTGGTGGTCACCAACAGGTAGGAGTATTGTTCTATTCTTGCTCATGGTACCCAACACTATTTTCTGTGTAGAAATATAACACTGATCATGGTGGTGCTGTTAGTTGCTAATACCAAATACAGTGCAAGCACTACTAGTATTGTTACTATTATGATATCTCTATCAGAAATGCTAGCAGGTCTTTTGCTGTTTGAAACACAGTACAAGTAGTAGTAGTCCATGAGTCCTCTTCCTTTGTGCTGGTGGTCACYAACAGGAGACAAGACTACTAGTAGTAGTATGAGTAGTACTGATATTATTTTCCAATGTCCTCAACAACCACCACTTTTATTTCTGGGGGAGGTACATATCAAACACTGACATGAAATAACTGATAACATCACCAGGCCAGTAGTAGATAGCTAGTGGTACTATTACAAAATATACCCCAAGGACCACATCTCTCTCAAAACTACTAGTCACTATTTTTTACCATTTGATTTCTAACA